TCACTCTGAAACTCCCAAGCGTTCAGGAAAAAGAATGTCCTCAAGGATAATTTTTTGTGCTGTGGAGGGCAAACAGTAAGGCATGGGTCACAGGGAATTTTTCTATAACTGGTTACACCATGCATTTGCCCCCAATGTGAAAAATTACTAACTGAAAAGAAATTAGAACTTAAGTGCCTCCTGGTGTTAGACAATGCCCCTGGTCATCCTACAGACGTGTCAGAGCGACTTTATGGGGACATGAGCTTCATTAAGGTGAAGTTTTTGCCTCCTAATACCACTCCTCTCCTCCCAGCCCATGGACCACGGGTTATTTCCAACTTCAAGAAACTGTACACAAAAGCTCTGTTTGAAAGGTGCTTTGTAATGACCTCAGAAACTCAACTGACTCTAAGAGAGTTTTGGAGAGATCACTTTAATATCCTCAATTGTGTAAACCTTATAGGTAAGGCTTGGGAGGAAGTGACAAAGAGGACCTTGAACTCTGCTTGGAAGAAACTGTGGCCAGAATGTGTAAACAAAAGGGATTTTGAAGGTTTGAGGCTAACCCTGAGAATCCTGTGCCAGTTGAGGAATCCATTGTGGAAATTGGGGAAAGTCCTTGGGGTTGGAGGTTAGGGGGGAGGATGGGGAAGAGTTGGTGGAGGAGGACAATGAAGAACTAACCACTGATGAGCTGCTAGATCAACTTCAAAAAGCAAGAGGCCACACCTGAGGAAATTGCTTTCGTGAGGAGGGGAGAGAGAAATTGAAGAAGTTGCCTACTTCAAAGATTAAGGAAATCTGTGCTAAGGGGCTTGAATTTTGCAAACCTTCATGGATGAAAATCACCCTCACACAGCTATTGCAAGCCGTGCTGGTGATTATTACACTGACAATGTTGTGAAACACTTTAGGCAAGCCCATAAAGGAACGAGAGGTACAGGCCACTATGGACAGATATCTTGTGCGAAAGAAGTCCATGACTCTGAAGCGGCCCTAGTGGCTTTAAAAGAAGAAGGGAAGTAACCCCAGAAAAGGATTTACTACCCTCAAGTCCTAATGGAAGGGATTCCCCTTCTAAAACAGTAAGAAGATATTGCTCTCCCCCCCCCTCCCCCATCCCAATCAACCCATCACCAGATCTTCAATAAAAGTAAGTGTCATTTAATTGTGCATGCCTTTTTCAGTTTGTGTGTATTAAAATTAACATTTCATGTGGTAAAAAATTTTTTTTTTCATACTTTTGGGCGTCTTGCACGGATTAATTTTATTTCCATTATTTCTTATGGGGAAAATTGATTCGCAAAAACGATTATTTTCGCATAACGATGAGCCCTCTTGCACGGATTAAAATCGTTAACCGGGGGTCCACTGTATTGTATTTAATAAAAGTGTATTTTTAAAAGAAGGGACAGTCGCCATTTTGTTTGAATTGAATAACACGTTGTGTATAATGGGAAGAATTTTTCGTGCTCTAGAGGTTTAAAAATTTGGGGGGACACCTCTCAAATAGGAGGCGAAAAAAGTTGGGTGTGCAGTCCTGCATTTAAATTGAGATATCAGACGACTGGACGAGACAGCTCCAGGGAAACCCTTTGAAAAAGTCTTATGTAGTAACCTGGCCAGTGTTATTTTCATAGACAGACAGTGAGGTTTTCTGAGTATGATACACATTAATCTCCATCAAATTCGTGAGTGAAAATTTAAAATATTTTCCTTCTGTTTTTATAAATGTGGAAAAACAGTGGTCCCTCGTTTTTCGTATTAATCCGTTCCTGGAGCCGTTACTATAAACGAAATTTACAATTTACGAATCAATTTTCCCCATAAGAAATAATGTAAATACAATTGATCCATTCCTGACACCCAGAAGTATTAAAACAAAAAAAATTTTTACATGAAATATACATGTAGTACATAAACAATACAATGGGAAATGATGAATGAAACATTAACAGCATAACACTTACCTTTATTGGAGATTCTTCTTAGTGTATGGGAGACTGGAGGAGGAGAGAGAGTGGATTGTTTATAGTTTGGAAGGGGAATCCTCTTCCAGCAACACCTCAGGTACCAATTGCTTTTCTGGGGTTGCTTGTCTTGTGTTTCTTAATGCCACTAGGACCACCTTGAGAGTCAATGGAGTCCTGTCTCGCAAAATAACTGTGGGGAGAGCTCTGTTTCTGGAGTCTCCTTAACACTTCCCTAAAATGGGCCGACTGTCACTGTACATGTTGCCAACATGGCTTGCAACAGCCTTGTCAGGGTGATGTTTCTCCATAAATCTTTCCATCTTACCCCACATTTCAAAAATCTCCTGAATTTCTGAAGAAGGCCACTTCTTCCATCTCTCTTCCTCCTCCTCTGCAGCAAGATTCTGAGCTGCAATCTGTTGCTTTTCCTGCTGAAGCTCTTGCAGCTTCTCAGTGGTGAGCTCTTCGTTGTGGTCTTCCACCAACTCTTCCACATCCTCCAAACTCACATCCAACCCCATTGAACTCCCCAGTCCACAATAGATTTAACAATAGATTTGGGTCACCCCAAACCCTTCAAAATTTCCCCCTTGTGGACACAATCTGGCCACAATTTCCTCCAAGCAGAGTTCAAAGTCCTAGTACTCACTCCCTCCCAAGCCTTACCTATAAGGCTTATGCAATGGAGGATACTGAAGTGTTCTTTCCAAAAATCTCTTAAGGTCAAGTGAGTGTCTGAGGTTTACATTAAAGCAAACCCTTTGAAACATTGCTTTGGTGTAGAGTTTTTAAAGTTTGAAAGACCTGCTGGTCCATGGGCTGGAGGAGAGGGGTGGTAAATTTGGGGGCAAGAACTTACTGTGATGAACCCAAACTCCCCCGAAAATTAGTCAAACCAAGTTTGGAGGATGAGCAGGTGCATTGTCCATTACAAGAGGCCCCTTGAGATACAATTTCTTTTCCAGGAGGTAATTCTTCAAAACTAGGGTCAAACACTTCATTGAACCACTCGACGAAAATTTCCCTCGTGACCCATGCCTTACTATTAGATTTCCAAAACACACACAATTTACTCTTCATAACATTGTTTTTCCTGAACACTCTGGGATTTTCAGAATGGTACACTAGTAACGGCTTCACTCTGAAATCCCCACTAGCATTAGCACAGAACACGAGCGTCAGCCTGTCTTTCATAGGCTTGTGTCCTGGCAGTCCCTTTTCCTCCTGAGTAATGTAGGTCCTCTTTGGCATATTATTCCAGAAGAGGCCTGTTTCGTCACAACTGAACACTTGTTCAGGTTTCAGTCCTTCAGCCTCTATGTACTCCTTGAATTCACTTACGAATTTTGTAGCTGCAATTTTGTCTGAACTGGCAGCCTCACCATGCCTTACCACACTGTGTATGCTACTACGGTTCTTAAATCTCTCAAACCAACCTTTGCTGGCCTTAAATTCACAAATATCAGTACTCGTTGCAGGCAATTTCTTTACCAGACCGTCGTGCAACTGCCTAGTCTTTTCACAAATAATCGACGCCATAAGACTATCTCCTGCTCATTATTTCTCGTTTATCCACACCAATAATAACTTCTCACATCTTCGAGTACTGGTGATCTCATTTTTGTCAGCATATTTACCCCCTTTGCAACAACAGCTTCCTTGATTTCCTTTTTCTTGGCCACAATGGAAGCAATGGTTGTATGGGGTTTGTTATACATCCTGGCCAGTTCGGCCACACGTACTCCACTTTCACATTGTTCAATGATGTTTTTCTTAAATTCAATAGCATTTCTCACCTTCTTTACCAAAGGCTTAGCACTAGGAGCTTTCTTTGGAGCCATGGTAACTTATTTAGTAGTTGCAAGCACTAAAATGAATGGAATATTTCGTATGAGCAAGTGAGGGGACCGTCGCTCACTGGTAAACAATGGCACACTGATAAATAACAAAAAAAGGCACAATGCCGTGACTGGAACGATACACAAATAACCCGCACATAAAGGAGAAGCTTATGACGACGTTTCGGTCCGACTTGGACCATTTACAAAGTCACACTGTCACAGTGTGACTTTGTAAATGGTCCAAGTTGGACCGAAACGTCGTCGTAAGATTCTCTCTTTTATGTGCGGGTTATTTGTGTAATGGCACACTGGCTGGGAAGGGCTCAGAGCTGTGCGTACGCATCCCAGACGAATGACTATTCGCGAGTCAAACTACGATTAGCGAGCCAATGTTTTGACAAAAATAACGTTATGATTTTCGAAAATTACGACTATCGATCCTTACGATTATCGAGGGACCACTGTACTCACTTGAGTGGAGGAGAGAGAGATACATGATAATATATGCCTACTTGAGGGCCTGGTCCCAAATCTGCACACTGCCATAACATACTGGAGTGAGAGATATGGGAGGAAAGGCAAAATAAACCCAGTGAGGAGCATGGGTGCAGTGTGCACAATAAACGCTATCAACATTCATGGTCCCCGACTATTCAACATCTTACCAGACAATATCAAACATGGCTGGAACAAGTGTAGAAGCCTTCAAGAGGAACCTGGACAAGTATCTTCGCTAAGTGCCAAATCAACCAGGCTGTGATGGATATGTGGGGCAGCTGACCTCCAGCAGCAACAGCCTGGTTGACTAGGCAAGCACCAGAGGAACCTGGCCCATAGCCGGGCTCCAAGAGTAGCGAGACACTCGAAACTTATCAAAAATATATCAAAGGTTCTGATGTTTGGTTTGAACAACTGAACCTCTTGACCATGTCTGCATGCTTTTAGGCACTGAGGTCCTGCCATGTGACTGACTGATTAGATATTTGTGTTAACACACAGGTGTACTGGTGTACCTAATAAAGTGGCCACTGAGTGTATATAATAAGTATGTTTTGACAAAAAAAAGTCAGGGGTCAAGCTATACAGTCGGGGTCAAGCTATACAATTTATTTAAACTATTTAATAAAAAGGAAGATAAATATTTATTTAAACGAAATGAATAAAATATTAATTACCTTTCAGTAACCAGGTAAGTTTATCTCACCTTAAATGCCATATGCTCCAAGAAGTGGGCCACTCCATTGTTGGCATCTGTCTCAAAGCGAGAGCCGGTGTCAATCCAGAGACCTACAGTAGCTGTAGGGGTGCCAGAGTCCTCGGTGGCTACCCGCATGCCATTATCCAGCATTGTCACGCGAGTAGGTGGCACATTAAGGAGAGCTTGTTCATAACTTACATTAACAGCCGTTGCTTGCCATCTTGCTACCTGGAACACAAAATGCCACTTTCAATAAAAATTTAAAAGAATTCACTTCAGATGACAGAATAGAACTAGAAACAAAACTGTCCTTCAATTGCTACTTCTATGGCTCAGATGACAAGAATATTACTAGTATGCTAAACTAAAGCTCTATACTACAATCTAGTTTTAAAAATGACAATCACTATCACTCTCTATCACTATCACTATCACTATCACTCTCTATCACTATCACTATCTCTATCACTCTCTCCCTCACTCTCTCTCACTCTCTCTCACCTCTCCCCACTCTCACTCTAAACTCTCACTCTCACTCACTCTCACTCACTTCACTCACTCTCACCACCTCACACCCCACTCACTCTCACTCACTCTCACTCACTCTCCACTCACTCTCACTCACTCTCACTCACTCTCACTCACCTCACTTCACTCTCACTCACTCTCACTCACTCTCACTCACTCTCACTCACTCTCACTCACTCTCACTCACTCTCACTCATCCTCACTCACTCTCACTCACTCTCACTCACTCTCACTCACTCCCCACTCACTCTCACTCACTCTCACTCACTCTCACTCACTCTCACTCACTCTCACTCACTCTCACTCACTCTCATCACTCTCACACACTCTCACTCTCTCTCACTCTCTCTCACTCTCTCTCACTCTCTCTCACTCTCTCTCACTCTCTCTCACTCTCTCTCACTCCCCTCTCACTCTCTTTTCACTCTCCTCTCACTCTCACTCTTTCTCACTCTCACTCTCTCTCAACTCACTCACTCCTATCACTATCACTCTCCTCTATCACTCTCTCTATCACTCTAATCACCCCTCTCTCTCTATCACTCACTCTCTATCACTCACTCTCTATCACTCACTCTCTATCACTCACTCTCCCTTGCTCTCTCACTCTCACTCTTTATCACTCTCTATCACTCTATCACTCTCTATCACTCACTCTCTATCACTCTCTAATCACTCTCTATCACTATCACACACATACATACATACACAACACACACACACACACAACACACACACACACACACACACACAAAACACCACACACACACACACACACACACACACACACACACAACAAAGATGGAGGAGAGGTTAGCAAAAATGCAGCAGGTGGGAGCAACATGCCACAGTAGCAGAAGCCAAGATACAGAGATTAGAAGAGGAGCTGAGAAAATCTTGAAACAGCCTAGAGACAAAGATAATACAGAATAGCATCAGCAATGTTTACATCAGACACAGACAAAGGGGCTGAAGGGAGCATGGAAGCTAAACTGTATGCAGAGGGCCCTGTCAAACCCACATGGGGCCAAAACAAAGACGGGGAGCACACTAGGACAATGAGAGGTTGGAAGACATTGAAGGAACTAGGATATGTGCAGGGACCTTACCAGACACTTGGGGGGGCCGGGAAACGGGTGAGCGGGAAAAGGACAAACCAATGAGCATAAGGGCCACAGCTAGGGAAGGGACTGAATTCAATTAAAGTTTATTCTCTATAAGGGTTACAATGGGGGGTTCACAGGTTTGGGTATTGTGTGGTTTACATGTTATAAAATACTAATTACAGAGGGGGCCACAGGACACCTAGCATGGCTAGGCATTTCGGGCAGACTTAGTTTTAAATCTTAACATTAAATCCTTACAGTTTAAATGGTATTCAGGCTAAGTGACTACATCATAATTCGTGAGTTTAGCAATGTGAATGCTTTTGTTTTGGCACAATACAATGTGTCTATATTGGAGTACATAGGCAAACTTTTTGACTAGTTGGGATTTATTATTTTAAGATTAGTATTTCTGGGTTTATAGCCCAGTGGGTGAGTGTAATTGTGAACCACCAAGTGGTTATTATGTAGTTAGTTGTCGGGTGGATCAGGGAGATAAGATGTTTTTCTAACTGTAGTTTTGAAAGTGATGAATGTGTCTGCAGTTCTAGAGTTTTCCCGGTAGGGGGTTCCAGATTTTTGGTCCTTTGAAATACAATGAATTTTTATAAAGGTTTAGTTGAACACGGGAAATGTCATAAAGATGTTTGTGTCTGGTGTTATGGGCCCGTGGATCCTGTCACAACTATCAAAAAAGCATTTTAGGTCAAGGTTAATATTGGAATTTAAGGTCCTGTAGATATAGAATGCACAGTAGTAAGTGTGGATGTTCTGAACAGGAGTAAGTTTAGATCTATAAGAGTGGGGGGTGGGGTTTTCCAGGGATGGATTTAGTGATTATTCTTACGCGGCTTTTGTTGGGGTTTTTATTGGCTTAAGGTGTGTTGCTGCAGTTGAACCCCAAGCACAGATAGCAAAGGTGAGGTATGATAAAAGCGAATGGTATAGGTGGAAGGGCAGTTGCAGTACGTAGTATCAATCTTGGAGAGGATCCCCCCACCGTTTTGGATACTTTTTTGTTATGTGTTGGATTTTGGGTGCTGAAATTTAGGTTGTTGTTGAGGGATAGGCCAAGGAATTTGCCCTCATTATGTCTGGCAATTAGTGTGTTTTCAATCTTAAAATGTTAATTGCGCAACACCGCTCTGCTCCAAACATAATTAGTAGGTTTTGCCAGTGTTAAGTGTAAGTTTATTGCTGTCATCCAAGTCGATATTTTAAGCACCTCCTCATTAACAATGGTGTTGAGGGGGCAAGATAAGGTGGGAGATGACATAAGTCGTGTCGTCACAAAGAGAATGGGTTTCAGGTGTTGGGATATGTTTGGAAGATCACTGATGTAAATGAGGAAGAGCAAGGGTCCAAGGACACTTCCCTGCGGAACTCCATATCAAGTGGCCGTATTGATGAGGCTGTGTCTTTAATGGTGACATATTGACCCCTATTAGAAAGGTAGGATTTAAAATATGCAAGCACATGGCCTCTTATCCCATAGTGGTCAAGTTTGTGGAGTAGGATGCCGTGGTCTACTGTGTCAAAACGTTTTTCCCTTAGGTCAATAAAAATTCCTAGCGGATATTCCCTTATTTCAAATACTTTGTAAACCCAGGTCTAAGGCATTTTTAATAATTGCATCATTAGTGCTTTTATTTTTCCGAATCCAAATTGGCGGGGGTTGAGTATTTTCTGGACTTATAAATGAAAAAGTCCCGTGCACGAGTTTTCTCGAAGATTTGGATTGCAATGGTAATTTTGATATTGGCCTATAGTTGTTTTCGTCTGTAGGTCACACCTTTATGTATTGTGTAACCTTGCGTTTTGGTAGTGTGGGGAAAGTGCTATTTCTAGTGACTTGTTAAAAAGTAATTTAATACATGCGAAAGGACATGGGCCACTCGCTTGTACAATAATGGCAGGAGGAAAAGATTCCCCAAGTTATTTTTAAGTGACTTTATGATCGGGGTGACTTCCGTGGGCTCAGTTGGTACAAGATAGAAGGAATTTGGAAATTTCCCATCTAGGTAGTCCCGGCACGGCATTGGTACGTGGGATTTTACTGGCGAGATTAGATCCTATGTTTGAGAAGAAGTCGTTTATCTTGTTAGCTGTATCAGTGGAAATGCAGTGGTGTTTCATTAGGTTTAGTTAGGACAATACAGTGGACCCCCCGCTTAACGACACCCTCCCCCAAAGCGACCAATTATGTAAGTGTATTTATGTAAGTCCGTTTGTAAAGTGTATGTTGGGGGTCTGAAATGGACTAACCTACTTCACAATATTCCTTATGGGAACAAATTCGGTCAGTACCCCGGGACCTAACATACTTCTGGAATGAAAAAATATCGTTAACCGGGGGTCCCCCTGTATTCTTGTTTTTTTTTTTTTTAGTTTGGGTCCCCAGAATCTGGGAGTGTTTTCCAGGTCTTTTTTATATCTTCTCTTGTGTCAGTGAATCTGCTGGAGTAAGTACAGTTGTTTGGCTTTCTTTTTTTCTTTGGTGAGAACTGATGAATAGTGTTTAAGATTATCTTTGTGTATTAACCCTTTCAGGTCCCCAGGCCCCTCCCCCGACTTGTTTTTCCCGGGTTGCCCAAATATATATAAAAAAAAAAAAAAAAAAATTTTTATGAAAAAGATAGAGAATTTTTTTCCCCCATCATAATGACACCAAAAGTAGAAATTTGATGAAAACTTATGGAATTATGCTCTCGCAAGTTAACGTCTCGACGATGTTTACGCATCATCAATTTTGCCCACTTTGAGGGCCCCATTTTCCCGCCAATTCCATGGACTAGTCGACAAAAATCATAACTATTTCTCTAGAACTCCATTTTTTTTTATTGAATGAGTACAAGAAACCACCCATTTTCTGATTTCAACTATCCAATACAGTGGTCAGAATTTAGCAATTTTGCCAATTTCACACAAATTCAATAGATGCCAATTTCCAAATAGGGTCCAGAATAAACAAGAAAGACATTCCTGGCACTAAAATAACATTCTCTGTTCATTAGTCACGTCCCCACGCCCCTCTTGCATTCTTTTGCTTTCCACTTTGAATTTTTTATTTCTCACAAAAAACAAAAGATTTACTGTTATGCAGACTACTGCATTAGTGTAGAAATGGTATAAACAATATCAGCGCACTTGTGAAAGAATATTAGACTCACCAGTTGATGTGCATTGGACGCTTAGCATGATTTGTTTACTTTTGAACTTTGGCAAAAATCGAACATTTCTGCTACTTTGAGCTCAATTTCAAGGTAATTTTCATTGTAAAACCAGTCAAAATCATCTCAATTTTGGTAATATGTCTTCCATTCTATAAAATGAGACCAGGAAAACTAGAATACAACAATAAATACCATACAAAAATAGTGCAAAGTCACTGTTTAATCCAAAAACACGGTCAAAGTTTTTTTTTTTCTCATTACGCACTGTGTGCTGCAGGATTTTTTTTATACTGCACACACTGACCACATAGACCCATTCTTTCATAGTAGGCCTACCAGCTTTCCCTCACTTGATTGAGGGCGCTAGAATTTTGCTACTAGTACGTCAAAAACCCTGGTGTGAAACCCCGAAAGGTTAAAC